TTAAATTATACCTATTAACTCATAATCAAAACTTTCATAAACCTACATCTGATATTAAAAGGTTTTTTGAATTGGTTACCCTCTGTTCCATCGATTTTAATTCAAAATATTGGAGTCGGTACATTTTCTGGTATCATGCATGAACAACCAGTGAAATATATTTTTCATTACACGTTAAAAGGTTCATTTGTATGATTCCTTTTTGGTTTATTTTTTAAATTAAGATTTGTATTCAAAGTATTACTTTCACCATCAATTTTATTGAATGCACGCGAGCTAGGGGAACGTGTTTATAGGGGCAGCAGGCTGGCTTGTTATTATAATTTATTCCCTCAATTAACGCACCTTGTCGATTGTTCTGTGCATCAAACGCACTAATGGTCTTGCTATTTGAGTCAAAAGATCAAAGTTCTTATGCGATTTAATCGATAGAAACTGTGTTTGTTTTAAATATTTGTAAATTTCTAACTATATTTTAGATGAGAACTAATATTTTTTGACTTTTGGGGTAAAATTTGCATTTAATTTAATACTTTCTTAGATTTACGCGAATACATTTTAAATAAAAATATCTTTTCGGATTTTTCGCGAATTTATTTTGATTTTTGGTTCCCGACGTTTCGAATGCTTTACAGCAATCATGTCACGGGAGAGACTGAGGTGTTAGATGTCTCTAAGGTCTGTCTTTAATTTTAATTAATTTTACCTTTTTCAAATTACACATAGATCAATTATGTGTCCTAAATAATTAATATTTTATTTTACTTTATTTTCTTTATGGTTATAATATAATAATGGTAACTCTAAATATAGATTACTAATTAATATTTTTAAAACTGTAATAATTATTATAATAACACCTCAAATTAAATAAATAATATTACATATTCAATTATAAAACTAATTAATATTATAAAAATGTTTCAAGATGAAGTACTGTAAGGTACATTGAGGCCATTTTTCATTTTTTTTGAATTCATTTTGTCAATTGTGGGTAGGCTGTTTGTAATAACTATATAATATCTATTTGACATTTTAACTTTTGTCTATGCCTTTAATTGTGGATCACTCATTAAATGATAGCTTTTCTTATCTATACATATAATAAAATTGTAACTAAGCCGAATCTATACATTAAATATTTTTTGGAAAATTTTATTGAAATAAACATTATTATAGATACAGAGGCCGAATCTATAGTTTTTAGAATTTTTTTCTGTCTGTCTGTCTTTCTGTCTGTCTGTTACCGCATCACAGAAAAACCACTGGAGGGATTTTGATGAAATTTGGTATGGTATGTAATAGCTGTTTATCCGGGTCAACATATAGAATACTTTTTACCGCGAAAAATATATCATTTCTGAGAAAAAATACTAAAACTGCATTGTAGGAGTATACTAATATGTAAAACCTAAGAATTTGGTTTTAGATCATCTGAACGCGGGAGGAGCCGCGGGCAATGCTAGTTTCAAATAAAAGTCAATTAACTGAGTTACCGAGGGTACAAAGATTAAAACAACAAGAGCCCTATATTCCATGAGTTCACAATACAGAGGTCGTATTAAGTAATTTTGATTTATAGAAATGGATATCCTCACTATGATTAGACAATCGTAGTGCAAAATATCATAGTGCAAGGAAACGTAGGGGCATATAAAGGCAATAAATGTTAATAGAGAGTTTAATCCAGTAATAGAGAATTCTTCCACTTTAATTGTCTTCTTATCTATACATACTATAATAAAATTCTAACTGAGTCGAATCTTTACTTTAAATATTTTTTGGAAAATATTATTGAAATAGTCATTATTATCTATACAGAGGCCGAATGTAGAGTTTATAGAATTTTTGTCTGTCTGTTTCTATGCCCGGGAACGCGACGAAATTTGGTATGATGATGGTTATCCAGGTCAACATATAGGATACTTTTTACTGCGGGAAAATATCTCATTTCTGAGAAATCTATACTAACCTTAAAACGTAGGGACGAACCCGAGCGGAGAGAGGGTGAGTCGCTAGTCTTTTTCTAAAGTGTCCAAAAATCTACAACCACCGAAGTAACTGAACTTTATAGGACAGAAAAATGGTTGTACCCTCTGAACAAAGGTGTGGAACCACTCCTATAACGCCAAACTTTGGTATTCTTGACTGTTATCACCAAACTCTATTTTTGTCAAAGGATCAAATCTTAAAAAGTAATGTTTTTAAGAGAATACAAACCACTATTCAAACAATGTTGATAATAATTAAACACATGCCCGTAGTATATACACAAGTAGTATCCTACCTAAGTACCCTAAAGCAGAAGTTGCTTAAAAACTTAACTACAGTGCACGAATGTAAATTGTACATTTCAGATGCTTTTCCTAAGCCTTTGCGAGTACGCTCACTCGAAATATATATGAATTTTAAAACAAGGCATAAAATTACCACCTGCTTTGTTTCCTTAGCAGTGGTGAACACAACAAGCAACTCCTTAGACTCCTTACTAAATTGATTATAATATTTACTGGAATCGTCATCAATATCAAAATGTTAAATTTAACAAAAAATACCTCGATTTTTTTTATAATATAATTTCCTTCACATTTTCCTCGAAACACCTACCATCTAAGGGTTGCGAATTGAAAGTTAGTCTGTATAAATTTATTAAATTTCTGTTAGACGGAGATTTTCTTAACTTTTTATTGGCCTATTAACGTTCTAGTAAAGGTATAACGTGAAAGAACTGATTCCTCTGGAAACTTTAAAGTTGAATACTGATCGGAGAATTTTAATTTTGCAAGCTTTTTATTTAGATTTTTAATTAGGTTAAGTTTTGATTGAAGTTTTGCTTCAATATAAGTTATTATGTAATACTAGCATTGCCCGCGGCTCCGCCCGCGTACAGATGACCAAAAACCAAATTCTTAGGTTTTACATATTAGTATTACTATACTAATATGCAGTTATATACATTGCAGTTTTTGTATTTATTCTCAAAAATGAGACATTTTCCCGCGGTAAAAAGTATTCTATATGTTGACCCGGATAACCAGCTATCACCATACCAAATTTCATCAAAATCTCTCCAGTGGTTTTTCTGTGATGTGGTAACAGACAGACAGACCGCCAGACAGACAAAAATTCTAAAAACTATAGATTCGGCCTCATATATATATAGATAATGTTTATTTCAATAAGATTTTCCAAAAAAATATTTAATGTACAGATTCGGCTTAGTTACAATTTTATTATATGTATAGATTCAAGTTAAATTAACCCAGAGCTTTTATTTAACTGGCTGTTTGTATTGTGTTATATTCAGACCTTTTTAACGTCCCACTGCTGGGCACGGGCCTAACTTCAATACGAGGGGGATCAGGCCATAGTCCACCACGCTGACCAAGTGCGGTTTGGCGGACTTCACATGTCTTTCGAAAATTTGCTAGGTTCTCTCAGACATGCAGGTTTCCTCAAGATGTTTTCCTTCACCGTAAGGCAAGTGGGAATCATGTTAGAATTGATTCGCACATGAAAATATAATATCATAATATAAATATTTTGGATATTTATATTATATACGTAACTCAATAGCAAATATTGGTAACATCGTGTCCATAATGTTATCAAAGTCTGTTGATTTGTTTATTAAAGAAAGCTAATTCCCACCAATAACTTAAATGTAAACAGGGCTTCCGATTCATGCACAATAAATGTTTATTTTATTGATTTTCACACGGCTCTACTACAATGCATCTCCATGGTACACTAACACCAAACGAATTATTCCGTCATAGTTCCGAGTCGCTTTGAATGAAATTATCAGGGAACAAGTTTACCGTATTAATAATAATGCAAATGCTACCAAAGGACCCCTAGTGTTGAACAAAAAGTTTTTATTTCGATAAAGTTCCACTCCTCTTTTACGTACCGCGAGAGTTAGAACTTTATGTTAATAAATTATTTTTTTGTGCGCTGCTATCGCTTTCGTTGCGCATTTATTTGGTAACGATTGATTAATTTTACAAAGTGAGTAATTAGAAAAAGTACTTTTTACCCTCAGGAATCTATAAATAACATTTGATGTTAAAGGGATGCCGCGGGTAAAATTACATATATATTAAGTAGATATAAGCTAAATTGTATTTATTTTATAATATACTAGCATTGCCCGCAGCTCCGCCGCGTTCAGATGACCAAAAACCAAATTCTAAGGTTTTACATATTAGTATATTCTTATAATGCAGTTTTTGTATTTTTTCTCAGAAATGAGATATTTTCCCGCGATAAAAAGTATCCTATATATTGACCCGGATAACCAGCTATCACCATACAAAATTTCATCAAAATCCCTCCAGTGGTTTTTCTGTGATGCGGTAACAGACAGACAGACAAAAATTCTAAAAACTATAGATTCGGCCTCTGTATCGATAATAATGTCTATTTCAATAAGATTTTCCAAAAAATATTTAATGTGCAGATTCGGCTTATTTACACTTTTATTATATGTATAGATTTATAATGATCGCATGTCTAATGGTATGTTGCATGTACCTAATGATTTGCATCCTTATAGATTCATCATAACACCACTACTTATCTATATAGTCAAAGTAGTTAGTATTTCACTATGCTGTTATATTTTTAAGCAACTTATATTATGTAGATACTAGTTTTTCTTTTTTATTTGTGAATATTTGAATAGAGCTTAAGTTAAATAAAACTCTTCCGAGCTTTTTAAAATTTTAGTCCAAGCTCTAGGTAATTTAAAAAATATTTCCAAATATATATACATAATTACATACAAACTTCCGTAACTTTAATTAATATTAATTTTTTATTGGGCAAAGTAACAATGTTGACACTTGACACTCCTTTCTAATCAGTAAAAATAGTAATCACCTCAAGCTAAACGCTAACGAATTTTTAATATGCCCCAAAAAACAAACAAAAGCTTAGCAGGTGAGCTTTCTAGTCTGGTTCTTCAGTTTAATTGCAGGTTTAGCGTTCATTAGGATATGCGTTTCTTTAACACGATTATGACGTCGCAGGGTTGGAGGGTGCGTTGTGAGGGTGAGGAGGGCTGCGTCACGTGCGAGGTCCGCACTCTGCGACGCATGCGAGACCGCGGGACGCCGGCAGCGCAGGCGCGCCCATATCCCCTGCCTCGCATCAGTCTGCCGCCGGCCGCGTGCCCCGCCCGACCTGTGTCTCGCCGTGAGTGTACCCCGAGTGATGACTTGTGACTAGTGCGATGATCGTGCTCCGCTGTGCCCTCTTTGCGGCCCTTCTAGCCGTCGCCGCAGCCGCCTGGCAAGAGAACGTACGCCCCAAGGTCTTCGCCCAGTTAGGTTAGTATGACACTCCGCTGTCAGATAACACGCCAAATGACAGTTACGTATAACCATCAAGAAAATGCTTGTGTTTTTGTTTTGTTCGACCGTCGACGATACCACGCGATGGAATTGTGTTTGCAAGTGTTTATGCGTTTTGTTAATATTCTGATTTGTGTAATTCGAATGTTATTTGGATAGTTTTATTGTTAGAGAAAACCAATCTCATACAGACTCTATAAGTTAAAGTTTTACCAAATACTCCAATAAGAGAGTTTACTAATACGTTAAACGTAGTGAAGCCTGGGTAATAAACATGTTTGTGATGTTAAGTCGGATAAAAAAGCTCTACGATTTTTATGATATCGATTTTTGTGTCTTACAATATACTAAAAATAATTATTAAGAGAATTGATAGAGTCGATAATATTTGTCAAGAGTAAATTTATTGAATTAGTCATGTACCTTTTATATAATGCTTTAATATAATTTTTAATAATATTTTCCATAGTGATTACATTCACTCGGACCACGTGACCTAAAGCTTTCTAATACACTTACGAATAACAGACAAAAGTACAAATACAAAAAATGTGTGATAAAACAATTTTTTAACAATACAATATATTTAAAAAAAATTACTATCTAGAAACTTCTTTTGCATAACTGCATTCACGATTGGCAATCTTAAAATAAAAAGTTAAGCTAGAATAACGCCTAGTAGTACTCCAGTACTGTGACGCGATAGTTTATCCTGCAAGAATAAAGGACTGCACAACTATAGAGCTATTGTTTTATTGTGCTGTCTGCATTGCGGGGGACAGCCACGTGGCTCTCATTAGTTCACAAAGAGAAGCAGTTTGTTCTGTGTTTTGCCGTGTTACGCCCGGATTAGCAATGCGATGTTTAACGTAGTGGATTAAAGTTTATCTAACTTGTGTATAGTTGTAGGCTTCATTTGTTTCCCTATCAATAATTTAAATTAAACTACGATTATTTAAAACATTATTATTAATATGTTGTGCTATTTTTTAATTTTTTACCTGTTTCTGTCTGTTTTGAGATAGAGATGATAAATAAAATGATGTACAATATTTGAAAAATGTGAATTATAGAAAATCACCGTGAAGAGTAATGATTTTAATTTATATTAGACCTACTCATGTTTTGAATTGAATTTTGTCTTAATGGAAAGATTGAAATAAATCAATATTGAGATTCTAATTTAATCAAATGCTATCTCTGAAATATATGAGCTAAAAAATAGCTGTAAATAAAATGTTGCCAAATTTAGTAATCACAATCGCTTATTCATAACAGGCAAACCAAAGAAGTAATTGTAGATGTCAATGAAAGAACTCTCAATTGGAATCACTAACTTTATTGGTCTAGACGATATTGTCGGACGCATATCCGTCCATTGTATCCGGAGTTGCATTGTTTATCAATGCTATAAAATATTAATGCATCAAGTTAAAAAATTCATAACCATTGTAGCTTACACATATGTATGTATATCGCTTTCGCTATGCGACGCGATCTATTGAACTATTCAATAACAAATTAACATTTCACGCAACTCTTAATTAAAGCATTCACTAACTGACAGTTACGATGTGGTGTTGTAACTGGTTAAATTAATTGCAATTGAAAATCAATAAGCTGAAACTAAGTAATCGGAGATGATCAAGCGAGGTAATTACTCCAATATAGTTTCTATTTGATGTTCGGACGCTCGTAGCGCTCGTGTCAACACCTCACTCGTAATGTGATATACCAATTCAAACCAGAGGGTTCACATTGACCGCATAATGTGGTTTAATATAGGCACGATCAAAGGTCTATATGGAAATCGGAGATAGAAAGCTTCCTTTTATTACATCGTTATTTCCATACATATTATTTGTTTTTAAATAAACATTTTTGTTTTTTTCGGAGTGCTTCGTATCTTATCTTATCATATTCATATTTGCTTGACACTTGATCTTAATAAACAATTCATAACACCATTTCATTTTCATTACGTATTCTGCTAATAGATTTTAGTTGGCTCATATGTTAATGCGAACTGAAGTATAGGGCTGGTATTAATTATTATCTTCATAATGAATAATGAAGTGCCGTAGTTCTTAAAGTATGTTAAAATTAATTAATATTTAAAATTCACAAGTTGCCTTAAAAGGTCATATAGGGTTTAGATTATATGAATACTAAGTAAACGCTTAAGCGGTACCAAACTTAGTGTAAATATTTAAAACGGTAACTTGGTTTATATTTGAGCTTTTCTTATGTTGTAAAATGTATAACCAATATTTTATATGAATATTTAAATTTCATTACTAGGTATATTATTATATCTAACATTAATCTATACATACATATGATAAAATTGCAAAAAATGTAACTCCAAATCGCTGTCTGTACGTGGAAGATATTTGAAAAAACTGTTATTGGGGTCTGTATTAAAGCAATAGAACCCAAAACAATGAGTTTTAGAATTTTTATCTGTTAGTCTGTGCATTTGTGCACGCTAATCTCAGAAACGGCTTAACCGATTTGGGCGCGGTTTTCACTAATGTATTGTGGTAAGCTTCACTTAATATTTAGTATTTGTTTTATTTCAACCGGTCCATAAATAAAGAAAGTTATGTCGTATGTATCTGAGCCGCTAGTATAAAAAATATATATGATACAAACAATTATTTGTTATCTTTATTTATTACTTAATATTGTGGTTTCTAGACAAGTGAACCAGTCTAGATAATAAGTATATAATATTATTATGGCCACGGCTTAGGAGATAGCGGTTGCAATCTAACTAACCTAATTTGCGGGTAATGTTGCTGCACTTTGCGTCCGTCGACAACTGATACAGTTATTATTCACAAAGTATACCACAAGAGAATTGGTTCCATTTGTGCAAATTGTATACAAAATGTGAAACTTGAATCGCAATGCACGTTCAGTACAGAGAATGTAATAAATTGTCTCAAAGTTCCATAAAGGAATAGAAGTGTAACGAAATTCAAATGCAATACAAAATCTAATATTTTGAATAGTGCATCTAACAATCATTCATTGTGTACTATATCTATATTGTAACAGACTTATTGTTTCGACCGGTTCTTCTCGTGTGGGTAGCGGCAAGTATTGAACTGAAACTGGATGCTGAGCGGAATTTCTCTCGCTTCGGATGACTCATTAGGGAGCAAGATTGCGATAGGTTAGTCACAAAGTGTTTCATTCACAATCATTTTAAGTGATATAAAATTCTCAGTGTCTGGTTTAAAGTATCTGTTTCTTCTTAGAAATCTATTAGGTATAATTTGTTTATTGCGCATGTGTATAGTTTTAAGAAGTTTAATATCTTTAATTTTCAACTGTTGATTATTTTGTCTATTTTTGTTGTATTTGAAAGTGAATCAACACAAATAGTACGTTGCTAGGATAGAATTGTTTTAAATAGTTAATAACATTGAAGGTCGAGGTTATCAAAGAAAGTGTAATATTTTAAGACTAACATACTTAAACATTATGAACATGATTCTAAAATAGGTTTTATTGACTGTTCAGGTTTAAACAGGTGCCGCAGCCGAAGGTTCGATTTCAAACGGTTTATGATGTTGCATTATGGTTTTCAAACACCCTCTTTTATGCTTTAACTGCTAGGATTATAGAACGTTTAAGTGGGCCCATAAAATAACCGTTCAGATACTACCTGAAGAAGAAATAAATTACTTAACAGGATAATGCTTTTATATCCAAGAATGTTTTGTACGTGTCACGTTTTGCCTTATGGGTATTTATTGGGTCATTCGTCAGGAACCAATACCCAAGGGTACTGTTATGTGGTTGGGGTGCATAATACCGCTGTGACGCGATGTTGTTTATGATTGGACATTACTAAGCTATTTATTAACTTTTCTGTATTATGAGAATTTACTTTTCTCAAGTGAACGCTTTATTACGTTAATTTTTACGTCTTATTTCTCACGTGTTCATGAATTTTTAAAAATATTTATAATAATGTAGGTAGGTATATTCCTGTAAGCTGTAATGGTACTAAAAATTGATTACCTAGTGAAAAAAAAACCTTAAATTTTGATGATCAAAATCATTTTTAACATAGACCAAGCAAGATAAATTAAATTTAAAGAAAACGTGAATAATGAATGTTTGTTGATGTTTTGCGGTTAAAATATTAGATGTAGTCCTTAAGTAGGGGTAATAAGTTCACGGGTTGCGTTCTTGAATGGCTTGTATAGGCGGCATGACACGCACGTGCGTGCGGCGTACACGGCGCGGAGGGGGACAGCAGTATGGCGCCGCCTTGCGGGAGTGGGACAACTTTATGGCGGTGCGATAATATATCGTCTTCGCTGAGTGTGGGACACGCTGCCTTTTGTTTTATGACATCAAACAGATCAGATTTCTTATCTTCCTTCGATTTGCACAGTCAAGATAAACATTATTTTCCAATGCAAATTGTTGTACATATGTATATGTTACAGCGACAGTACCTTTTATAATGTATGTAAAAATTTGTATTCTATAAATAAGTGTATGACGTCTGTACCTCAATGCATTTCCTTTGCGCGAGTTCACGTGAACTCATAACTTTCTCAAATGTGTTATGAAGATTGGTTGTAACTGGAAAGCGCTGTAGCATTTTCGTATGATATTGCTTTTCGTTCCAAACGGAAACATAATGGGTCGCGATCGATTGTGGCAAACGATGACTGTTTTATTCAAACCAGAGACAAACTAAAGCAGTACTAATATAATGTCGGTTGATGGACGATGTTTTTATACATCCCTTGTTGCTAAGGACAACGCAAATATTGGAACAGTAATGAAAATATTTGTTGTAATACTCTACGGGTAGTAAAGGAAAGACTTTTTTTGTGAGA